GAGATGATAGACTTCTCTGACTATGCTATGGAGAGGACTTGCCTATTACCACTTGGACAATGACAGATGCTGGTCTCAGCTTGAAATATATTGCTGCCTCCCAGCTGCATGCCACAGTTTATTCAAGTATGGCTCATTTTCTAGAACTAAAAAGTAGAGTGTCAGGTTATAAAATAAAGAAACCGACTTGCTATCCATTTTCAGGCCTGCCATAAGCTGTCTGAAATACCATTGTGCGCCATCACCTTTGGCTTACTTAAAACCCATACCCCAATGTGGGTGTTTGCTATTTATTTCACTCTTCCTTATCCTACTGACTTTAAACCAAACACATCCCACAGCTGCTGGTCCAGGTCAAACTAAATGGTCCACAACAAAGTCTCATAAATAATTTTTCCTTTTATGAATGTTCACTCAAAAGAGCAAATTCACCAACCTCTTGAGAAAGCTCAAGGGATCCCAAGAAAGACCTAGTCCTAGTTCCTCTATACCTCTTCCACCCCATGGTCACTAGAGAGGAGGGGGCCTTAATTGAGAAAATGCCTCCAGAAGAACAGGCTGAAAGCAAAGCCTGTGTGGTATTTTCTTAATTAGTGATCAATGGGGGAGGGTGCAGACCACTGTGGATGTGGGTACCCCTTGGCTGGTAGTCCTGGGTTCTATAAGAAAGCAAGCTGAGCAAGCCATGATGAGCAAGGCAGCAAATAGCAACCTGCTCTCATGGGCTCGGCAACAGCTTGTACCATCAGGTTCCTACTCAGTTTGAGCTCCTGCTTTGGCTTCCTGCAATGATGAATGATTTGGGATATGTAAGCCAAGTAAGCTCCTTCCTCCCCCAGTTACTTTTGGTCATAGTGTTTCGTCACAACAAAATAACTGTAAGATATCACCCATCTGCTCCCTGAGATTCCTGCTGTCCTAGCATCTTTCTCTATATCCATAACCCTTCTGTACCTGAGCATAGCATATTCCTATTGTTTCTTATATTTTGATTTCATTTCCTGCTATTCCTTATCATATCCACAGAGGTTATCTTGGCTTAGGGTCCCTCTCAGTGCTGATGAACTGAGAAGGTGAGATGGGTAAAGGTGATTACAGCTAATCTGATGACCTGAGTTCAATCCCTTCTTGGAAGCATGTGGTAGAAAGAGAGAATTGACTCCTGAAAGTTGTTCTCTGACCTCCATATGTGTGGTGTGTGTGTGTGTGTGTGTGTGCACGTTACAGAGAACAAATAAATACATAATTTAATACAGATAAACCTCAAGAACACCTTAAATGAAACCACTGCAATAAAATCACAATACAGAATTAATATGGTAGCTATGTTTTGTGACTTTTATCATAAGAATTAATTGATTAGACCATGAAAAGAAATGGTATCTTGTTGAAAACAGATTCTCTACATTATTCATTCAGTGAATATCATAACTTTGATCCTATGCTGAAGCCCTGGTTGGGGAAATGATAGTTTATGTCAGGTCTTCTCAACCTTCCTGATGGTGTGACCCTTTAACAATTCCTCATGATGTGCTGACCTCCAACCATAAAATTATTTCTTTGTTGCTTTGTAATTTTGCTACTGCTGCAAATCACAATGTAAGTATCTGATATACAGGATATATTATAGGCAACCACTGTGAGGGTAGTTTGATCCCCCCAAAAGGGTCATGACCCATAGATTGAAAACTCTTGGTCTAAGAAGAGACACTTGTATCTTCCCCCACTGGCTATCAGACTGCCTTATTTATTTATTTATTTATTTATTTTTAAAGTGAATATGCTTGGCAGACATACAGGGTTGGAACTCAAAGTTCACTTCCAAAGAAAAGGTACAAAGGGTGACCAATATAGATTCAATTAATGCACAAAGGGATAAGGAACGCCACCAGACCCAGAACATGTGGGGTTCTTATACCCCACCCCCAAATCCTTGTTCTGTTGTTTGTTTTGATTAATTTTCTTACAAAAGTAGGGAATCATTAAGACCCCATATTCCTTAGTGTAGAACAGAAAGAACAGATGAAGCCTGGTGTCCAGGTCCCCTTCCTCCAGTATAAGACAGAAGAGCCTGCTTTACAATTAACCTGATGTGGTTCTAGATTCTGGCTCAGGGCTTTCTACAAAGTGGAAGATGGCCCCAGGCACAAAGAAAAGGAAGTTGTACATTTTTTTGCCCCCACCCCAGGCCATCTTGGCCAAATTATGAACAAATTCATTTTTCTTTGCCAATTTCTGTTTTCCCATTTAACTGGAATTCAGGGAAATTGACAGTAGGGTTTTGGTCCTAAGTGTCTAGTAAGAATAGAGTCTATGAACACAGTTTGTTTGTTCAGTGTGCTGCTTATGACTTTAACTTGAATAGGTTTCTTCTGCTTTTTGTCTCAGATTTCTGTTTGTAGACTATCTAATCTTGAGATCAAGTTATCCCTAAGCAAAGTAGTTTGTCTTCATATGAATATGACTTTTGTGAACTATTATTGTCTTTGTGTTGAGAAAGGTAAAAACTCTAGTTAGAGATAGTGTAGAAAATACATATGGCAGGCTAGGACAAATCATATTCAAATCAAAGATGGTATGGTTATGACTGAAACATAAATTCAAATTAATGACAGATATATATCATTTATATCAGCAGTCATATATTCCATTAGACATTGTCTTTATTTCACATTTTTAATTTATGATTTATAAGTGTCTGATGCTGTAACATTGTATAAATATGCTGGGATTGTTGGAGATTTTGACAATGAGTTTGAAGTGTACTTACTATTATAATTATGTGTGATGGTTTATATATGCTTGACCCAGGGAGTAGCACTATTGGGAAGTTTGGCCTTGCTAGAGTAGATGTGTCACTGTGGGCATGGGCTTTAAGACCCTTGTCTTAGCTACCTGGAAGCCAGTCTTCTGGCAGCCTTCAGATGAAGATGTAGAACTCTCAGCTTCTACACCATGCCTGCCTGGATACTGCAGTGCTCCTGCCTTGATGATAATGGACTGAACCTCTGAACCTGTAAGCCAGTCCCAATTAAATGTTGTCTTTTATAAGACTTGTGTTGGTCTGTTCATAGCTGTAAAACCCATCATGCAATGGAAATTATTTCATGAACATGGTGTGCTTTGAAATACTAATGTGAAACTGACAATGAGTTTATTATTATTTTACTTGTGGAAATACTTAGATGAGATTTTGGATTCATATACAGCAGCAATGTTTTAAATGAGAATTTATTTGCACAATTGTTAATAAACTTTAGAGACCTAAGCCTGTCTCACTTTTTAAAATTTGCAGTGAGATATTTGTGCCCTGTACTTTTGTTAATATTTTCAGACTGATAAGACACTAAATTGACTATGATATCATTATTTCTAAACATCTTGAAGAGTCTAAAGTTACCTCATAAGCTGATACTCACCAGGCATGAGGATATTTACATTTACACAGACCATAAAAATAATTTTTCATAATGAGCAATTCATTTAAAGAATAGTCAGAAATACAAAGGCTCCTGAGCTCACTCAGGTTCTAATGAAAATCAGAACACAGAAAAAGAGAAGATTGAAACAGAAAAGAAGTTCCCAGGATATGGTGAGAAGCATTTATTAAACTGATCTCATCTTGGCAACTGCTTATTAAATAGCAATTAGTGCTTTGTTCTGTAAAGTATTGAGATACTAAAACACACAAATGTATAAAAAGAGAGAGAAAGGAGAAGAAAGGGCCAGGGATATTAGAGCCACAATAAACCTCTATCAAAGGGAGTCCAAGGAATTTGAATCATGTTTTAGTAAAGGAAATCCTTTCTAGGCCTAAGTGAATTTTTTTTCTTTTATCAGATTTGTCAATTGTAACATTAGGGTAAGGACTGCAGAACCTGGTCTATCTAGAGCATCCACAGAGAAGTGACACTGTCTTTGTTTTTATTTTGAACCACTACTTGCTTCAGGTACCCAAGTCCTCCTGGAACTATGGAAAGGGTATGCTCTTTCTTGCTTGGCCATGAAGGTCTGCTTTAGAGGAATGTGTACCAATACCCTTACTCTCTCCTTCTCACCCACCATAGATACTGCTCATTGCCAGAAAACTCTCCTCAAATGGAGATGGAAATCAAAAGAAAAAAAAAGGAAAAGGAAAAGAACAGGAAAGAAAAGAAAAAAAGGAAAAGAAGAGAAGAGAAAAGAAAAGAAAAGAAAGAAAAAAGAAAAGAGCAAGCTATCCAAAACTAGTCACAGAAGCTTGTAATTTCCTACAAGCAATTCTTACCATGGCTAAGTAAAGCACTCCGGGCACCATGACCATAAAAGTAACAAGGCATTAAACAAGCCACAGCCTAACAGGCTCTAAGAGAGAGGATGGGAAAAATATTCAAATTACCAACTAATGGCACATTCAATCCTAAATCCATTACTCAAGGTTCTTTAGCAAGCCCCAGGCCTCTCTGGCATTGTAAAGACAAGTGTGAAGGGAGGTGAATGACAGCCGTTCTCCTTCTCAGACTGCCCTAAAAGGGACCATGCAACCGTGGCAGTTCAAGGAGAAAGAATTGGGTAGAATGAGGATGAAGTACAGGAAGGTCTGGATTCTGACTACAAATAGAAATAGGTTTCCTACAATTTTCAACAAAAAAAAGTTAATTGCTGTATGCATGCAGTCTGGATGTCTTACAGGTGGAGGGAGAACTGAGTAAGCAATTTGGGACGAGAGGAGTGCCCTCTAAAATCCATTTGGTCCAATCTTCAGTTGATGTGAGAAACAGTTCCCAAAAGATGTGCTGACTTACCTCAGACAACACGATGATCTCGTGGGGTGGGGGCGGTGAGGGCCCGGAATCTTTATCACTTCCTGCGGTTCTTAGAAACTATGACACATGTTTGCATGCTGACCACAAACATGGGAATCACAGAATACTTCTGAGAATGGCCAATGGAGCACCAGGGATAGGAGATCCCACTCCTTCTATCCCTTGATCTCAAAGGGAACAAATGGGTTTACTCACCAACAGGGAAAAACTCGCTCATTTTCTTTTTGTAGATTTTGAAATCAACTTCTAGGAAGACACAGAAGATGATTCGATCCACCTAGAGGCAAACAATAAACACTTGAAGTGGAAGGAAATATGGCAAATGCTTACTCAAAGCAGAGTTTTAAAACACATAAAGACAAGTGTGAAAGCTTTGTGCAGATTTTTGGTGATGCAGTCTTAACTGTATCACAGGATCAGGTGATATTCAAAGGTGTGCGTGTGTGTGTGTGTGTGTGTGTGTGTGTGTGTTCACTTGTGTGTGAGTTATGTGTGAGTGTGCATCTGCCTGTGCATGCTCTGTTTATAATGAAGCCAATATGTGCTTCAGCGGAAAGATGCTACATAAATAAGACATAGTAAATGACAGCAAGCCACGTTGCAGCAAGCTGTAAATAATGCCGAGGTTCTGACAGGATACCTAGACTTTATCTTCTCTAAAACAGCCAGAAGAGATGCAGATAGACAAGTGACAATAAAGTATGCCAGTAAACAAATAGCACTTATCCTTATCTTGTTAGACAAATCCAGTCATCAAAGCTATAATCTTATAATATGGCCTAAAAAATGTCAATGAGTTTAATATACACAAAGTCACTTGCTTTTAGCCTAACATACTCAAAACAAACAAACAAACAAAAAACAAAAACAACAACAACAAAAACCCCAGCAGAAATAAAATGCTAGTTGGCAGTAACACAAGGTCAATGAACACTTAATTTGGAAGATATTGTTGGGTAAGTGTCACCACAGAAGTAAAATGTATGCCCAGTCTCCCTTCTTCCTTTTTTGAGAGAGCATCAGCACACATAGGTTTCTTTGAAATAGGCAAGCATAATTTGTCAAAGAGAGAGGGAAAAGGACCTACATACAGTAGCTCACCTATATCTCATACTAACTCAGAAACTCAATTTTGTGTCTGGAACATAAATACCCCTTTATTACCTTTCTTTAACAATGAGAAATAAAGTTTATTACCACTCTATCAAGGTACAAGTGACAGTTGAATAAAACATCAAAGCATCTCTTGGGGGATTCGGGGAGTGGGGGATTCGGGGAGAGATGGGGTGAGCATCAAGTGGGACAAGAAAGAACCCAAATAGATGTCAGCCACCTAACACTTCTCCATTTCCCCACTGTGGAAGGCGATCCTGCCTCTCACTATGACCGCTTCCAGTAGCTGAGATGCTCTAGTGTGAGAGAGATGTGGCAGCTGGGTCACTGGGCATTGTGAAATGAAGTGAGATACCCGAGTTTAGAACCTTGCCTTTGTAATCTATTCATAAGTCTCTACCTTATCAAGGCTCAACTGCCTGCTGGCCTGTCACTGAAATTCTATCCCTTAAGGAACAAGCTACCCTCCAGTTGCCTCGGGAATTCTATTACAAAACAAACAAGCTCAGCCTCTGACCATAAAAATAGAAAGACACTGGGTTCAAATGAGCAGATTTCTTTTTTCCTGTTTTCACATTTGAGTCAGATGTCTGGCCCTATTTCTATATCATTAGTACAGCCTGTATACACAAAAAGTATAGATTCCATATCAAATCATTTTTCCAGGTGAACTATAATTTTAGTTGAAAAGGAGAGAGAGTCTGTATAAGTCTCTGCATGCCCATACTCCTTATGACACATTTATATCCAGTGGTTGAAGCCAAAAACCATAATGTTGAATGACAGAAATGTGTTGCTGAAGGGCAGACTCTATAAAACCGTCTCTACATCATTTTAAAAACATAAAGATACAATGCTGTAGGGACCCGTCCATGACTACTATTCAAATAATCAGTTGCAAGGACATCTGGTTAAGCTTTGGATTCCTTTATAAGCAATGCAAAGATGAGTGGGAAAAAAGAAAAGGAAAGGACAGGAAAGGAAAGGAAAGGACAGGAAAGGAAAGGAAAGGAAAGGAAAGGAAAGGAAAGGAAAGGAAAGAAGAGAAAAGAAAAGAGAAAAAAAGAAAAGAAAAAAAAAAACAACCCCTGAACTCAATCAACCAGAAGCTGCCACCTAACTTGGGGTTCCTCCATGGAATGATTCAGTAAGGCACCTGCTCTACTATGGGTTAAACCTCTTTTTGCCTTGCATCCACTCCATAAAATCCTGCTCATGCTCTCTGAATGGCGGCCAGCAGTGCAGGCGGTCTGCCCAACCTGTGAAGTGCTGCTGTTCAGAATACTTCCACTGCCACTGCCTTGTTTTGCTTTCATCTGTACTAACATATGGAAACAGATGAGTAGCACATGTGGCTTTAACATGGCAGTCATTTCTGCAAAGGGATGAGATTTGGATCATTAATAATTTATTTATTAGAGAGTAATGAGATTTGAGACACTATGACACATAGCTGGGAGCTGTTAACTGTGGGGGTAAGTATGTAGACAAATAATTTTCTCTATTTTTCTTATGTTTGAAACACTTCATAATTAGAGACTCTAAAGTTGATATGATTCTATTGTGTTCCCTTAATCAGACTTGGTTTTCTAGTTGTGCCGGATCACTTACAGTTTCCCGAACCCACAGTTACCCTTGTGTGCCTATGAGCGTTCATGATTTTTCCTTTATGATTCACATGTCATATTGCTTCTAAATCACCCAGTTATGGTAAGAGCTTAAAACCTAGGAATTTAGACTTACAGAAAACCTAATGTGATTGAGTCAAACAATTGTGTGTCCTGTCACATTTCTCTATACTTAAGGACAGCAAATTGGGTGATGATTTTATCTTTCGTGTCCCTTATATGTGTGTGCAAACATGTGAGTGAGTGTGAGCGAGTGTGTGTTTTCTCTTGCTGGGGCCTCTTTTAGTAGCAAAGCTATTAACTTCAAATGCCATTCAGTTCATATTCAGACTGTCCAAATATTGCAAGGGGTCATAATCTATCTCTAGCACATGGCTTGATGACCATGGGAATGGTCCAAAATTCGCCAGCCCAGTTAATTTTCCCCCAGAAAACAAATGGATGTTGAAGATGAAACACTTAAATTTTAAAGAAATTGAGTGCTCTAGCTAATTGTCCTTACTCATAGGCCTAACACTGAAAACAGCTTGGTAGCAAATTGAATCTAAGCATTACTTTCATTCACTAGATACTGATTACATATTTGTATAACCTTGTGCACATACATATTCTCTGGGGTGCTATTGGATAAGAACCCACTTAATTGAACCCACTTATTTGATAAACTCTGTTTTAAAAGTCATTCCACTATTGCTAATTCTTCATTCCATAGTTCTCTTTACAGAGTAAGATGATGGAATTCTTCTCACTGAAGAGTGGGGTCTAAACTCGAATCTCTTATGTCTGGGAGGTCTGTAGCCATGAAGAATTGATGTTAAGTGGTTTTTGTTGAGTGAGAGGAAGCCATTCCGATTCTGTCTAGTACCCTTGGGAGGACACTTCTCATATACCACCTTCATGTCTTATGGAAGCAGCAAGAGCATGTGGAGAACCCACATGTAGCTATTCTGGCCACAGTTCCAGCTGGGAGGAGGTGGCCTTTCCACGATTTCAGCTGCAGGCGTTTGAGCCAGCTGATGCACATGGAGCAGAGAAGAGCCACTCCTGCTAGACACTCATTGCAAATTCATAAGCAAAGACACAGAAATAAGTAACTACAGACTTGACATCTTCCCAGCTTCTCCTGGCACCACTTTTTTGAGTCTTGCATTTACAGATCTTTAGTACTTTACGTCTGTGGAAAGGGGGAGAAGAAGGACACAGGAAGTTTAACTGCTCCATGGCTGAGAGACTGGAAAGCTGGCTCATACAAAGGAGGGAAGCCTTGCATAGTCCAGTCTAATCCTGGATTAATTGTAAGAGAATTTTCCACAACCCAGCATGGCATCACTTTCTTTCCTTAAAGCCACTGGACAATTTCATAAAACTATGGCTCTTGAGAGACCACTCATTTATTCATCTGCTATTAAGTGAATTGCCTTCAGTTTGCAGGGCACAACCTGCACACCGCTCCCAATCTATGAAACAAGAGTTCAGAAATTGAGTGGCCTTTTCATAGTGTCAGAAAATTAATGAATGATAAAACCTCAGTGCTCTTAACTTCAAGTCTTGAATTATTTTCCCTTTGATATTACTTTGAGGATAAGCCATATCATACCATTGAGTTTCCAGGCCTGTTCCTAGACATGGGATAGTGGATGGACATGTATAGTTTTCCACCTGTATCATGAAAGGGCTGAAGAATGCCATGTCCTGTGTCTAACTCATAGCTGTTCTGTACTGTGTGAATTCAGAAAATCCAGACAGACCTGCACTTCCCAGAATGGTTCTTGGTTGGGGCTGCCCATGGGGACAGTTCCTTGGGATTTGTAGAACAGAAGTACAACCAGAGCTCTCATCACAAAGATGTGTCTAGAGGTCCACACAGGCTGTGCTGTGTTCTTGAGAAATGTTTGCTAAGGCAGCAACTGGGAGCTTCAACAGCTTCTGCTGGTCTCTGCTATGGGTTCTGTGAGTCTTGAGCTTCACAGAGATGCATCCTGAATTACTTTGTAAGATGTTGCATTTGGGGTATCAGATCGATAAGGCAGTCCACATGTCACTCTCAGTTTTCATCATGGCTTCCAGGCTGTCTTGATTCTCTCCCATTTTGTATTCAGCTTTTACCAGAAAGCATTTCTGGACCACATACCCTAATAACACAAGCCTCAATTAGGACCTCTATTCTGACCAGGAAGCACCCCCTTCTGGACACACATTTCCCACTCTGCCAACATTGGATGTGATGTTATTAGTTTATAAAAGAAAAATCTTTACTTCCTATACAACTCACAGAATTGTGCTTCTCTGGTTAAACTCCGATTGATACAGTCTTTGTATCAGTTCAGTGAGCATTATATCACCAGGAGAAACTCAGCGAAGCCCAAAAAAGTAACAATGTTCATTTTTCAGAGATGTGTAACCTGTCAAAGAGATTTAATTCCTAATTATTTCCTTTAAATGAATGTCTGTGTGTCTTAGCCTAGTAGGTCTTTTTGGTGAACTTCCTAAAGTGTGTATCTACTCTTCTGTAACTAATTTCACGTGCTTAAAATGA